CTCCCTCCTCCCTCCTTTCCTTCCTCTTCCCTCCTCCCTCCTCCCTCCTTTCCCTCCTCTCTCTCCCCCCCTCCAGTGAGGGCGACACATGCATGGACTCTCATGCGAGGAAAGGAGCAGTCATCCTATCGTTCGAGTGTACATAGTCAGACACGGCGAGACCGAGGACAACAAGCTGCGCATAGCAGCCGGGCACAATGCTGGGGAGCTCAGCGAGCTGGGGAAGGTGCAGGCCAAGTGCCTGGGGGAGCGACTGCGGGACGAGCCGATCGACTTCATCTTCTGCTCCGACCTGAGGAGGACGACGCAGACTCTCGAGCTGATCAGGCAGGAGCTGGGCAAGGAGCTGCCGACTGTCCTCGAGCCTCGGCTGAGGGAGAAGCATGCTGGATCGCTGGAGGGGAAGAAGCTGGGGATCTCAGAGCGCATGGCCAAGGCCGCCGGAGTTCCCCTGCGATGCTTCCGACCGCCAGGAGGGGAATCCTGGAATGATGTCGCGCAGCGCGCGAGGGGTTTCATGAAGGAAGTGCTATCCTTATGTTCGACTTCCTCGCTACATCAGAAGTACAAGCAGGAGCCGGGCTCGCAAGACAACAAGGAGAAGAGGAGCTACGGTTTACTCCTTGTCACACACGGTGGTTTCATCAAGGAGTTGGTGAATTCTTTGTTTCCTCATCGTCCAATAGGTTTGTTCTCGGGACATGTGCTCTTCTGCGGCATGACATGCTGTTGGCAGGCAATATCCTCAAGAACTGCTCCCTGACTGTCTTCCATGCTGTACTCAAGAAGCAAGACTCCTACGACTTCAAGGTAAACTTGAGGGATTCTTTTCCTCCCCTGACTTTCTCAGATGATGATTTTCAACGAGAGTTCTCACCTGAGGAAGATCTCAGACGTTCAAGAGGAGCAGGTGGCAGGATCACAGGAGCAGGGTGGCCGAAGTGTCTAGTCATAGAAATTGGTGCGTTTGCTCTGAAATGTGTCAAGTCGGATGTGAGCAAGCATGCGAAGGTTTACAGCCAATTGAAGTGTGAGAGGAGATGAAGGGAATAGGTATCAACTAGTGTAAATGTTCATTCGTCGCCGACCTCACAGATTCTTCATGAAATCGAGGAATCCCAGGACGACATTCTCTGCCCTCTGTAGGAGGTACTCCAACTTCTCATCTGCCAATTGTGCAGACGAGTCTTGCTTGCCCGTTTTCTGCTTCTTGCACTTGGTCCTCAAGGGCGGGACGTAAATGCTAGTAGCTGCCTCATCATCTTCCACCTCCTTCTGCTCTGTCTCACACCAGGGGGCGCACATGACGTCGATCACGCTGTTGGGGATCTTCTCCGCATCCACCAGCCTAAGAAAGTAGTAGACATCCGGGCGCGGCGGCTTGCGATGGATCATGCAGCGCTCCCATAGCTGGTCCTTTAACGAGCCCCTGTTCTCCATGTCTACATCGCTGACAAGAGCCTTGAACTCTACGAGCCTGCTCCTCAACATCTCCAACGTCACTCTCTGGTTGGCTACCGAAGGAGTCGCATTGAGGTCGTCCAAGAAATCGTCTTTGATGAGAAGACTTGGCTTCCAGGCCACGTCTCTGAACATGCTGAACGCTTCTTCGCAGTGCTCTGATCTACATCCAAGCATTGCCGCAGCACTTCGAGAGTAGATCTGCTTGCTAGTGTTTTCAAAGAACTCAGCAAGCCTGCAGGGAGGATCAACCAGCAAATGTACAAGACGAAAGCCGTCGGTGACTCGGTCCCAGTTGTCATCGTCTGCAGGCAGACTCGTCACGGACTCTGCAGAGTCGTACTCACTGATGACATCATCGACGGTAAAGAACATCCGCTTCAACTCCTCCATGCTCTTCTCGGGAACCTCCACTGCTGCTGAGGTGTCCTGGCCTGCCTTTCCACCATTCTCATCGTCATCAAAACCATTTCGATGCTCCTCTCCTTCAGCTCCCGCGGCATCATCAGGCAGAGGTCGTTTCGCTGTTTTCCTGCATGACAGGCTCTCGCCTTCGAGGTCGCAAGGAGTCGCTGCTGTGCTGGGTGTCGTCCTGCCACCATTGTCGGAGGACGCGTCGGCCATGTCGGCTGAAACAGACTCAGGAGGGGCGGGGGCGCGGGAAATTTTTTGGAGACGAGGTAGCCCTCATCCCCACCATGTCCCCGCATCAATTTTCTGGGGATGAATTTGCTAATGGTGGTTCCGTAGGGTACTAGGGAGAGCGTTGAGGAGGAGGAGGAGGAGGAGGAGGAGGAGGAGGAGGAGGAGGAGGAGGAGGAGGAGGAGGAGGAACAAGAGAAAGGAGGAACAAGAGACTGAACGATAGCTATCTAGAGTTTGTAGGAGGCAGTCGGCAGGTCAGGTCAGGTCAGGTAAAATGGCGAGAGATGGGTAGGAAATCAATTGCGAGAAGGATGGCAGTCAGATATCGGTATAGAAACAAAAGGAGGCAGGCATATGATGACGATTTTTGTACAGAGCTGGAGTTTTTGTGATTGATACGTGCATGACTTGTGGTCGTCGGCACCTGTGCTCCTGGTTGATAACTGCGTGTCTTCTTTCAAATCAGCTCCTCGTTCATGCCTCGGCGTTCGCCAACAACTCCAACGTCTGCAATGCTTCTTCCTTGGCGGGTGGAACTCAGTGCAGGACTGCAATGTGCAGGCTGTTGAACATCAAGGTAAGCTTCCTTGCTCTGTGCTTGGGGTACTGAGCTTCCGTCAGGCTGGTTTCAAGCACATCAGGACCTGGAGCAGGAGCATCTCCTCCTTCCCTTCCCTGGCACTTCGAGGAGTTCAGCGCTCACTGCTAGGGGCGCTGACCCTGAGGAGCAGGCGGAACTTGACCACCGCGGCCATGTCAGGAGGAGGAGGCGACGAGAGGCTCCGCGTGTTCTTCCGCAGGGAGGCCGACAGGAACGTCCTGCTGAACCAGCTGCATGACAGCGACAGGATGCTGCTCGACACCAGCGGCGAGAGTGAGGGCAGAAGAGACTTTGACATGGACAAATTCTTCTCCCACCTGACCACGAGGCGACTTGGCAACGTGGTCATCTACAACCACAGCTTGTCGTCGACCCAGGAGCTGATGATGACGCGGCTCAAGAGCGAGGCTGAAGGGATCTTGTGCGTCTCCGATGTCCAGACTTCCGGCAGGGGTCGAGGAGAGAACCGCTGGACTTCTCCTAAGGGCTGCCTGTGCTTCTCCTTCAGCACGGGGCTGGAGGAGGCAAGGCTCCTGCCCTTCTTTCAGTATGTCGTCTCGATCGCCATGTACCAGGCGATCTCCGAGGTCGGCGGGGTGACGCTAAGGCATTCGGGGTTCAGGTGAGCTGAAGTGGAGGAGGGGAGAGGAGAGGAGAGGAGAGGAGAGGAGAGGAGAGGAGAGGAGAGGAGAGGAGAGGAGAAGGGGAGGGGGGAAGAGGGGAGGGGAGGGGAGGGGAGGATAAAGGTTGACGTCGTAGTTTTATTGCCCTATTGTTGGTTCGGAATAGTTTCTTGTGCTCTGATTGGTTGTTCACAGCTGAAATGGCCCAATGACATTTACGGATCAAAATCACAGAAGATCGGAGGCGTTTTATGCCAGTCGACCGTCTCCTCCCCTCAGGTGGTACCTCTCCTCCTCCTCTCCCGCCTTCGTTACCCTCCTTGTCCTGCTTCTCCTCCTTTAAGAAGTCTTTCTCCTCTTTCTCCTCCCTGCTGCCTCCACCGCGGGTTCTGCAATCGCTTGCGATGAATTGACGACGTTGACGAAATGCAGCACAAAAAGCTCAGCGGGCACTCCTACCGGGTTGTTGCTGGCGTCGGAGTCAACACCCTCAACTCTGAGCCGACCACGTGATACAAATCCACCACCACCACCACCTCCTCCTCCTCCTCCTCCTCCTTCTCCTGCGCGTGCTGACTCGGACTGCAGGTGTGTCCGTGACCTCGTCGACCAGTCGTCTCTCAAGGTCAACGCTCAAAGAGTCTCCCGCGAGCTTCTCCTCGCCGCCTTCTGCAATCACTTCGAGGTTGAGCCCCCCTCTTCTCCCTCCTGCCCTCACTCGATCGCATCAGCAACTGGAGGAGGAGTTTTCCTCCCAGGGCTTCAGAGGCCTCAAAGACTTGTACCTTCATGCATGGATGCACAGCGGGCAGAGAGTGCAGGTAGGCCGATGATGTCCGCCCACGATACCTCCTCCTCCTCCTCCTCATTCTCTTTCTCCTGCCCTCCTCCTGCTCGCCTCTTCCTGCCAACCTGTTCTCCTCCTCCTCAGCCTCCCTCACTCCTTCCTCCTCCTCCTCCTCCCTGCCAACCTGTTCTTCTCCTTCTCCTTCATTCCCTTCCTCCTCCTTCCTCCTCCCTCCCTCCTTCCTCCTTCTCCTCCTTCACTCCTCCCTTCCTCCTGCTCTCCTCCTTGTTCGCAACAAAGGAATTGAAACTTCGAGGGTCTTGACGAAGCTGCAGGTGCAGGTTGAGGATAAAAGTGAGACGCCGATCACTGTTGAGATCGTCGGGTGTGTCCCGCTTACCTCACAGCTCCTCCCTCCCTCCCTAATCACTTCTTGTCTCTCCTTGTTCCTCTTCTCTCTCCTCCTCTTCGCCTTCTTCCTCTCCTCCCTCCTCCTCCTCCTCCTCCTGCCTCCCTTCTGTCTCCCCTCTCATTCCTCTGCCTGTTCCTCCACCTCCCTGCTCCTCCTCCCTCCAGCAGCTGCTGTGTGACTTGCTCTCGAAGCATCTCGCCCTCCGGCTTCTTGAGTGCTGTGGATGACAAGGTGAGTCTCCTCCTCGTCTGCAGCGCCTGCAAGATGACCTACTCCCTCTCCCTCCTTCTCTCCCTCCTCTCTTCCCTCTCGTTTCCCCCTCCTTCGCTCTCTTTCCGTTCGCCCCCCACCTACCTTCTCCTTCTCTCCCTCTCTCCGGTCTTTCGTCTCTCCCTCCCTGTCCCCGCGTTCCTCTCCTTCCTCCTCGTGTTGTTCAGGGCAATGTGATCGAGCTTCATCCGGATGGAAACAGTTTGAATATGTTACAAGGTCTGATATACATGAAGAGATAGAGCTCAAGAAGGAAACAAACACTTCAGGATCGCTGAATCTTCCTCTTCCTGCTGCTCCTGCTCCTGCCCCTGTCCTCCTTCCCCACCCTCCTCTCCGTCGTGCTCCTCCTCCCTCCTCTCTCTTCCTTTCCCCTTCCTCTTCCTTCGCGTCCTCCTCCTCAACTGAAGATTAACACTCGCAACTGCCATGGCAGCGCTTTTCCCTGTTGCGAGCTCCTCGTAGAACTGCAAACACGTCAGGAGCAGAGAGGGGGAGAGCATGTGAGCATGACAATGAAGCTGGTGAAGCAGGTAGATGGAGAGTGAGGTGCAGGAAGGGAGACGGGGAGAAGGGAAGAAGGAGGAAAAATTCTCTTGCTCACCAGCTCAAATGCTCTGCCCATCCTCCCAGCCGATTCTTTCTCATCCCCTTCTCTCCTCCTCGGCATTACAAGACATTCTGGTTTGCCAGTCTTCATGAGGGTCTGCGCTACCTGCTCGGAAAGATAGGAAGAGCAGACGAATATCTTCCCCTCGAGCAGCTGGGAGGGGAGGGAGGAAGGAGGAGGAGGACAAGAGTTCTCCTCCTCTGTTCTCGGATGCTCGCGCATGCTGTCGTCGGCGAGGGGCGGCAGCTGCCAAGAAGGGGGGGAAAGGCAGTCCCAGTGCGTCTCGTGGAGGAAGACGTTCTTATGAGAAAGTGAGGAGAAAAGGAAGAGGAGGCAGGAGGGAGGGAGGAGGACCTAAAAAGAAAGAGGAGGCAGGAGGAAGAAGGAAAAGGAAGGGAGAGAGGGAAGGAGGGAGGGAGGGAGGGAGGGAGAGAGGGAGGGAGGGAGGAACATCAGATGTTTTACCTGCTCGAAGAAAACAACAGTGACTTCCTCCCCTGCAAGATGTTGCACGTGATGCCCACGATACTCCCATTCCTCCACGTCCGAGACCTTGATCAAACTGCGACAAATGCTCACCTCCTCCTCCTCCTCCTCCTCCTCCTCCTCCTTTCTCTCACGTCCTCCTCGCTCTCAACTTCTTCATTCTCGTCCTCATTCCCCTCATAACTTTTTCAGCTTCCCAATCCTCCTCTTGCATCACGAAATCCCAACACGCAACCTGTTCCCTCCTCTCTCACCGCTTGGAGGTGACGTGGTGCAGGATGCGCTCCTTGGCCGCTTGATCGAGGCGCGAGGAAGGAGTGGAGTGACCGTTCCTACTCCAACCTCTACTCCTCTGCGAGGGGAAGAAGGATGCAAGCCTGCCGCTGTCGCACGAGGGGCTCGTGGGCAGGGACTTGCAAGCTCGGGAGGGAGGGAGAGAGGAATCCTCGGAGGAGAGAGGAGGGAGGGGAGGAGTGATAGGCTGGACCTTGGACCTGCTCTTGTCTTCGCCTTGGAAGACACCTGCAGTAGATCGTGAGCAAGCTGCTCCCGCCCTGGGCCCTCTCTGACCTTGCAGGAGTGACTGCATCTGATCAAGAGGAATCACCACCGGCCTCTTCTCCTTCCCGTGCAGGAGACTTCCTGTGTGCTCTGACATCTGTCGTGAACTCTCAGCTCCTCCTCTTGCCACCCTCCCCCACCCTCATCCTCCCCATCCTCAATCCCCCATCCTCTGTCTCCTTCTTCTCCCTTCATTCCTCCTGGATCTTTGAATTCTCACTCTTCTCCTTGTGCTGTCTCTCCTCCCCTTCATATATGGATCGAGCTCTCTTACCTTGCAAGCAAAGTGCAGAACGCAGGGAGGAGCGTTGTGGGAGGAGGAGCAAGAAGAGGAGGAGAGGAGGTCGTTGGAAGAAGAAGAATCATCTGCCAGGGAAGAAAGCCCCCGGTATTCCACCTGCATGTCCAGCGACTGCAAGCTCTGAAGCAGCTGCAGCAGCCTGTCCTCCTGCTTACTTGTCTGGCAGTCGATCAGGACAACCTTGATCTTCGCTCCGAGCCCAACTTTGCTTCTTCCCCCGGCACCCACGGTAGGAGGAGGGAGAGGAGCAGTAGGGTTATCATCACCACCGAGAGGAGGTACAGGCGAAGGAAAGGGAGGATCGCTCTGTAGAACTTTGCAAATGTCTTGGAACACAGACTCGTTCCTCCTGACATACTCTTCCACTGCGGCGCAGATGCCCTGCCGAACTTCGGCCGAGGTATCGTCGATGTCCACCGAGCAACTCTTGTCTTCCACCTGCAGGCGGAAGAATGAGGTCTGAGGGAGCAAGGGAGCGAAAGTCTCCATTGCTTCTGCCACTCTCTCAGTGCTGATCGCCGCTTCCACCATGAACTCTCCGAAGGTATCGATCAGCCCTAGCCCTCCTGAACGCTTCAGCTCCCTCCTCTCCGTAGGCGCCAAACCCGTCCCCACCGAGATCACTGTGTCGATCCTCCTCCCAGGCCATATCCTCTGCGCCTCGCTCAGCGCCACCACGCTGGGATTGTTGGAGCAGACAGCTCCGTCCTGGAACCTCTCCCCCCCACACGAGAACTCCTCGAAGAAGAGAGGAGCAGCCGACGTTGCCCGCATCGCCTCCAGCCAAGTGTGCTGGCACTTACCGGCAAACCTAGCCCTGACGCCAGGAGGGTGCTGGTAGGAGCGGAAGACGAAGGGGCGGAGGGGGCGGACGGAGCACTGCGAGGAGACGATGGCTGTGCATGGGACCTCGGGCATGATGGAGGAGGTGATCATGCTTTGATCTGCTACCTCGCCAAACCCCTCCCGCAGGCCCTGCATGAAGGGGGTAGAATCGTACTTGGCCCCGGTCACCACGAATCTCTTGAAAGAGGAGCCGGACTGCATGAGTTTCTGCCACCATGACGAGGAAGCGGCTGCTGCAGAGAAGGAGGAGGCTCCTGGTTCGCTGCCCTCCTCCTCGCCCATCGGGCTGCTGGCCTGACCCTCCATCACCACCGAGAAAGCCTTGCGAACGAAGTTGTTGTAGAGCTTCTCGCACTCGACCATACTGAACTTGTTGCTCACAGCGGCTGCGATGATCCCTCCCGCGCTAGTCCCTGCTACCAAGTCGAACAACTTGTAGAGAGGAGACTGGCAGCGAGCCTCGATCTCAGCGAGAAGGCGGATCGCAGCGATCCCTTTCACTCCTCCCCCGTCGATGGCAAGGATACGAACTCCTCTCTGGTGTACCATGCTCAGCTTCTGTGCTGCCCTTAGCACGTCAATCTGCCCGAGAATGGCAAGCGCCCGTCGTGCTCCTCCTCTCACGCTCCACTTCTCCCACCAGCCCAGTTTCTCTCCTTCGACCCCAGTAGTGCATTCAGCCCTGCCATGTGCTGCGACATGCGTTGCAAGGCTTTTCCTTCCCCCCTCCTGATTGTCCCCTTCGTCCTCGTCCTCGTCCTCGTCCTCGTCTTCGTCCTCCTCTGCAAGCATTCTGAGGTGTTGGAGCAAGACGTCGTCCTGCAAAAGCCTTCCTCTGCATCGCTCTGAGAACGCCAGGTCGCCGACAAGCAGCAGCGCGCATGCCTTACAGATTTCTATCATCTCACTCTTCTCGTTCTCAGCGTTTCCTGATGAACCAGCAACAGAGAGCGGTGGAGGGCGGATGGCAGAGGGAGAAGAAGAGGAGGATGTGAGCAGGGCAGTCACAGTCCTCATGAAGAAAGAATATTGGTCTTTCCTCGAATGCGAGCCAAGCAGGATTTGCTGGGAAGTAGCATCTCCGACGGCTGCAAGTGAGCGAAGAGCTTGAAGGGCATACAGACACATGCTCGAGCCCGATGGTTGGACGAACTCAAGCAAGTGATTGATGGTTCCGAGCTCGATGAGCTCCTGCGCGAGATCCTCCCGTTTATCTCCGAAGCGAGCGATGGCGACGAGAGCGTCGAGACAGACCTGAAGGATGCGTCTCATCAGTTCAAAGACCAGAGGCATCAAGAGTAGGACGGAAGGGGAAGTGCAAGGAGGAAGTAGAGAGCAGAAGGTGACAGGAAAGTGGGAAAAACCGGTTCTGGCGCTTGACACATGGCGATGATGTTCTTGAGACCTCCCCCCCTTGTTGTTCCAGCTCCAGCTACTCTCTGAGCGAGCAAACAACGATACTGGAGTCTCTCTGTCAACAAAGAAGAAGAATTGAAGGCCGGAGTGTAGACCTTCTCATCGTTGGCCAGAAGCGCAAGGAAGGAGGAGAGGAGAGGATGGAAGCTCGCGCTGGATCGTAGGAGCAGAAGGAGAGCTGACTTGATCTGCTTCTCAGCCTCCTTGAATTAAGATTCAGAAGCTCTTTATAGATTGGGAAAGGCAGTGTTCATGGTGGTGGACGAGGAGTGGTTGTGGTTGTGGGGGGTGGCAGGAGTTGGAGGTGGAACCTGGCTCCATGGCAGGATGGACGTCCATGTTGTTCCCTTCAGCACGACCTCAGCTGTGATACTCAACGTATCGAAGGTCTCTCGAGCTGTTGGGCGTCAAGGGTCCACAACAAGATTGACGATGCCGTTGAGTATATGGAGTAACCGATCAGAATTGAAGGATCAAAGGGCAGAGGAAAGACAGGAAAGAGGGATCGCAGATGGAGAGGATAGCAAAGAAGAAGACATGGAAAGTAGAGATCATCGGAAAGAGCAGCAGTCTGACATCTCACCTGGTCTCCTCGCGTCCTTTTGGGAAACTCGAATGGTGCAAAGGGACAACTCGACCAAGCAGGACAGAGGAGCGAGGGTGGGGAGATACTCTAGATTGTTGATCCCCAGCAGGAGAGACCGCAGGACAGCGTCACGGAAATCAAAAGATGGGACCGTTAGCCTGCAAAGGGAGGCTGTCAGAGCAAGGAAGATCACAACAGTCACTCCAATACTTGTTGCTCTCCAGGTTGAGGATCTCAAGCCTGGGCAAGAGCTGGAGGAGGTTGGAGGGAGCTTCAGTGAGCCGATTCTCGCTCACATCGAGCTCCGTCAATAGTGGAAGGTTACAAATCGCGCTGACTGGCAGTTGTGTGAGGTTGTTCCGTCTCAGTCGAACCCTCGTCAAGTTCTTGAACCCGTTCACTAGCATGTCGTCGACGCCGACCTGCTTTAGCCGTTGTCCAGAGAGATCCAAAACATCCAGGCATACGCGCGAGAATGCTTCTAGTATGGTCTCATCGATCATCTCCTCGCTCAGGAACTTGACAGACTTGAGGTTGCTCAGGAGGTTGAAAGGGAAGGGAAAGGAGTTTGCCTGCAGTTTCTCATTGGACTGCAACCGTTCAAGATCAATGTGGAAGACATCAGGCAACAGAATGTCGAGTGAGTCAGACAACTCCATCGTATCTTCGTCTTTCTCTGCAGCTTGTCTTTCTGTTTCGCCTCCATCCACGGATAGCTCGAATGTTAGGATATGTGAAAGTACCCGCTCCTTCGCCCGCTGAATGGAGGTAGGGTCCGCATTGTTCCATTCCACGACAAGATCGCCGAACTTAGTAGTCCTCAAGTTAGCTCTCCAGACATTCTCAGTCGGTCTGCGATCTCCTCCCCCATCGATCGCACCCTGCCGTCTCCCCAACCCCCGCAACAGCGCGTCCATTCTCAAGCTACTCGCTGGCTCACCTTCGACAACAGTCGTTCAGCTTCGATCGTCACCATGATCAGTTCGTCCGATAGCTTGTCGCTATCTTCCCGCCTCTCTCCCTCCTCCTCCTCCTTCTCCTTCTCCTCTCCTTGTCCACCTCGCCCCTCACCCCTCCGGCGCCTCTTGCTCGGCCATGACGACAAAGATACAACAATTTATAAATCGCCTACAAATTTAAAATTTATATATTAAATGAATCAGTACATTGGAAAAGTATTTACATTAATACAGTTTCATACCGTAGAATTTTCAGTACACTTTGAACCATTGTGTAAATACCAGTACAAAAATGTTTAAAAGCTCATTTTAAAAATGGTTTGTGGCATAGCCGTTGCTCTACGTTTCATGAGTCGCTCAATTCGTTACTTATCCGTTGAAGCACGTTACACTCCGTTGTTGGGCGAAGAGCCGCCATGCTGGGGTGAGGGCAGCAGGAGGGAGAGCGGAGCAGGAAGAGCCAGAGAGTCAGAGGAGGGGATAGAAGACAGAGGAAGCAGCCCTGTCGTTTCCATTGCTCGCCTGAAGGTCTGGCCATCTTCTCGTGAGAGAGCGAGGTAACGGGGTTGTTATAGACGTCCTGTTCGCTACTTGCGAAGATACGAGATGATGTCTTCAAGGAAAACAGCGTTTCTAGTCGTCTCCTCCCTCTTGGCGGTCTGTATCGTCGTTTCTATGTATGGGCAAGCCTCCAATCCAAAGGTGGAGCTCGAGGACGTTCTAGAACAGCCGCAAACTTTCATGGTGATCTTTCGAGCTCTTTGGCGTTTTACGTATATGATGACCTTGTTTCTACAGATTCAAGCGCCAAGTAAGGAACAGGCAGCCGCTGAGGCAGCTCATGTCCTTGTGGGCGCTCATATCGCTCGAGCTGCTCCTTTCGCAAGGCGAACGGAGGAGGGCAAGGGCCGCGCGTTCTACACGGTTAACGCCGATAACGAGCAGGATGCTGCCAAGATCGCGATTGAGGAGTACCGTGAGACTCATCCGCCTCCTACCCAGGTCGGACGCAACGGGAACTCGTTTGTCGTGAATGCAAATAGCGAGAAGGAGGCAGCAGCAAAGGCTGTCGGCATCGTTGCCTCTGAGAGGAAACCATGCACACCGCCGCACTGCACGCCTCCTCCTCCTTCCACCTCAGTCAACCCCGTGCAAGTAAATGCCAAGTTGATCTTTCCTCCTGCCGATCAGAAGCTCGCGAGAGAAAGTCCTTGCGTGCCGACCGGAGATCCTGTCAGTCCTTGCCAGAAGTTGCCTGACGCTGAAGACGTCTACACCGAGGCGGACATCAACAAGAGGCTCCTGGCGATGAGAGAGCACGCAAGAGAGAGGCTGGAAGACGCCAAGGAGGGATGGGAGGATCAGTTCTCACAAGTGAAGTCAAGGTACCGCCAGCGACTGTCAGAGGTGTGAACCGCTCCTGGCGTCTTGGTCTTCTCACTCATAAGTGCATTGCAGGTGCGAAGGAAGATCGACCTCATGGAGCAGAAGATCCAACGACTTGAGTCTGGCAACGGAAACTCTCTCGATCTTTCCAACTACCTTCGGCTCAAGGAGCGGATCGCTGGGATGAAGCAGGGGCTGGAGCGTCTCAACAGGTCAGACGCTTCGGATCTCACCTTGTACTCCTCGCGCTGAATCGAAACGCTGCCGCAGTGACCAAGATAATCTCCAGAGGAAAGTGAACCTTGTGGAAACATCTCCAGGCAAGCGATAGCTCCCTCCCTTCCCCCCCTCCCTCTCTCCATCTCCCCCCTCTCCCTCTCCATCTCCTTGATTCTTACAGTGAGCCGTTCAGGACCCCCGGGAGACGGCGGGCCAAGAGGAGAGAGGGTAAAAGCTTTCTCGTTGCCTCCTCCTAATTCAACTTGACGTCATTTCAGGGTGTCCCTGGGCTACCGGGCCCGATGGGCTTGCAAGGAAAGCCGGGTGCTCAAGGTGAAAACGGCGTTCCAGGTAGATCTGGTCAGACCCGAATCCATGCTGTTTGTTAAAACTGCTGTGCAACCCTGCAGGAAAGGACGGCGATCCTGGTTCTCCAGGCCCTCATGGTTGCTTGTCGCGTTTCCGTCATCATCACCATCGCTTACCCTCGTCTCGCAGGCGTGAAAGGACCTCGTGGGCTGTCAGGGGCAAGTGGAGTGCCAGGTAGGCAGCGTCCTCGCTGCTCATCTAGCTGCTCACCTATCCACTAGGAAAATCTGGCCCTCCTGGTCCTCCAGGCCTCCCGGGCATCGCAGGAGATGAAGGACCGCAGGGTGAACAGGGAAAGCCGGGGGATCCGGGCAAACCTGGGGAGGATGGAGCTCCCGGTCTACCAGGACCCCCAGGGCCAGCTGGCAAGGTGGAGAGGAGGAGGGAGGGAGGGATAATAGCTGACTCGTTCTAGGATGGTATCAATGGTATCGATGGACCTCCGGGGCCCCGCGGCCTGCCAGGAAGGCCGGGGCCACCCGGGCCTCGTGGCAAAGTGGGACAACCAGGACCAGAAGGTGAAGAAAGGGAGGAGGACGGTATGAGGGTCTCAACGGTTGTCAGGTTACTTGGGGCCTCCTGGGCCTGCCGGTTTGCCAGGACCCGTCGGAGAGAATGGAGAGGTAGAGTGTGGAGTTTCTATGCTGGAAGCTGATAATATTCTCCTCCTCCCCATCGTTTGCTTCGCGTGCTCTTCTGCTCTTCCTCTTCCTCCAGCCCGGTGTTCCTGGCGCTCCTGGACTTCCTGGACCCCCCGGTCCTCCCGGGCGACCAGGGAAAGACGGTGAGTGAAGAACGATGACAGTAAGCAAGGGATGATACGGCAGCACAGGGTTGGATGGGCAACAAGGCCCGACAGGGATGGAGGGCCAGGCTGTCATACTTCCAGAACAGATGAATCAGAAAGTCTCTTCCTCCGTCCCCCATGCTGTCACAGCATACACTCCCGAGCAGTACCATGCTTACCTTCAGGCTGCCATCCGCGCCGCTCAGGTTGTGCGCAGGTGGAGCGAAAAGTGAATCCGCTGACGCTGTGAGCAGGAGACGGGGTGTGCTTGCGCACGTCAGGGTCAGTTGACGCAGATGGCATCGTGCCCGTGTGTTGCAAAGCACATGAGTGCGATGAAGGAAGGAGGGAAAATCAAGTCTGCGCTTGCAGACATCATGAAAGCTGCAGGAAAGTCGTAGATTGCTTCTTAACACGCCCAATACAATGGTCAAACTTGGTATTTTCCCTGTCTCGAGATCATACACTGATATGTTATGACTTGTTCATGAAATGACGAATAGGATAAGCAATCAGATCCAGAAACAGAAGAAGAAGCGAGGCATGCAAAGAATTGATCAGATTTACTTGTTCAACAATCCAATCCGATTTCTCTTTAGCTTGTTCGAGTTTAGGAGATTATCTTTTTAGATTTGTCATTCAACTTCAAAAAAGGGAAAATGTAAATTTACAGTCACAAAAGTCCATCTCCCTCAAGAGATGGCACTCTGACGAGCATCCCAGTCTGCAAAGAGTACTTGGGCAAGAACCTTGACTTGCTGAACCTGCTGCCTTCCTCCCCGTCCTGCAAGGGACCAAGAAGGCTATTCCTGGAGCGAATCATCCGCAGCACTGCTGCCTCCCCGCGGATGTTTCGAGCTGGGGAATGACCAGGGAACAGAGTCTTCTCAAGTTTCTCCATGTTCCTGAACTTTTCCGACTGCTCGAGCCGAGCTTGGATCGGGCTGTCCTGCCCCTTAGACGCGGTCCTCGTGAGGACAGGGGAGGGCAGGTCAGCGATGATCCTCTCGAAGAGGTTCTTCTCCCTGTCCTCTTGGGCGGGGCTCGCGCTGCTCTCTTTCATGGAGGGGTTCCTCAAAGGGCCCACGGACGGCAGGTAGTGTCCCCTGCTGCTCCTTTCCTCCTCACGACTCGTCATCGGCTTCTTCGCGCCTCTGAACTGATTGTTGTACTTCATGCTGTCGGGGGTGCTCGAGTGCGGGTAGAAGTTGTCCTCCAGCAGAGGGTTGTTCTCCAGCAAGGAATCGTCAATCTTCTGCCTTATCAGATTCCGGATGCTCGGGCCTTCAAGGATCTTGTTCGAGTTTCGATGCGAATTCCACAGCGACTTGTTGTACAAGAATCGTCGCTCACGGCTATTTGCCATCTCATCCGGGCTGTGATACTGAGACAGGCCATTCAACACATTGTAAGTCTTTGTCGGCGGACAGGTATTGAGCTTTTCTGTGCTGATGGGACTGTCTGTGCGAAAGCTGCCAGCGTTGTAGCTCATCGATCCGCTATTACTCTCTATTGACGCGCACAGCGTGGCGAGCTTCTTGGTGCTCTCTTGCAACTCGTAAGGGGCCTGTTCCGGCTCCTCTTCGGTCTTTTCACTCTCAGGCGCCTCTTGTATGTCTTTCTCTGACAAGGTCGTGACAGCAGCATCAGACCCTGATCGGAATTTGTTAGCAAGATCCCACAGATTTCCAGGCGAAGCACCTTCTGAATTCAAAAACTCCCTATCGTTTTCGGTGCCGTCACTGGTGTCCTGCAAATTTGCGTTTCAGATTCAGCCAGACACGGAGACGTATTTCACACCTTGCTACAAACTGTGGACGTCTCTTCTTCACCCTTGCTAGAGTCGTAGCTCTCTGCCTCCCTATCAACAGAGCTCAAAATCGGATTCTCTGCCAAAATGTCCGTTTCCTATTGTGCAACAAATCTCAGTTGAGCGAAAGGCACTTGATTCATCACCTTCTGTTCTTTCTCTGAATCAGATGCTTCATCTTTTCCTTCTTTGATCAAACCCCTGTATATGTACGTGTCCTGCACTTTGTTTTCAACATCAGCAGCTTCATCCTTGTCTTTGTCCTCGTCATTGTCCTTTTCGTTTTCTGATTCATAAGTGTCTACTTGTGCTGCAACGCATGCATCCGAGCTTCGGTATTGCACGCTGTAACTCTGGAAATTCAGAGACTTCGATAATTCGTGGCAAGCTTCTACTTTGTTTCCTGCAGAAGAGATTAATGCGTAAGAGTTTCCAATCGATTCTAACCGCTTTCACAAGAGCAGAGCAATTTCATGAATGCAAGCCCGAAGTGTTGACCGAGCTGAAGCAGGTCTGTGATGTTGAAGTGAACCATGTTGTCACTGATCTTGTGACCCAAGAACGACACTTCAAAGGTGTAGCTCTGTGTTATTCCGAATTCCCTGTTGACACCACAAGGTCATGATTTTGAATGCTCAACAGTTTCCAACAGATCAATTTGTTCACCTGTAGACTACAACCCTCCCTGTCGTCAGCTTGCTTTTATGCATTCTGAAGTCACAGTCTTGAAATGAAAATGCAGTCGAAATTTCGTTCATGATCATGGGGAAATTGCAGGGAGAATTTGGATTCTTCCACTGATGAACAGGAACTTTTCCGGGGAAACATGCGTTTGGATCACATCCGTACCTGCACAGATAATGAATTCAAATACATCTTGTCAACCTATATCAATACATGAATGCATTCTTCTTGGTGGAATGACCATGGAAATCGCAAAAAAAGATGAGTTTCTTTGATAATAACTGTCCAATACATGTCAAATTTTGAATCTGGGACCAATCAGCTGTCGATTTACATTTTTCATCAGATTCTTTGTGTGCCATATACAGGGATGCCTTGTGAAATCAGGATTTTGCCATATTCTACAATCCCAGTCAAACTCTCTATACAGCGTGTTGCAATAGAATACCTGTTGAGATCCTGCCCTGCGAGAGAGCATCGATAGTGTCCGTTTATGACTCCATCAGGATTCAACATAGGCACGACGAAGAAATTATACCTATTGAATCAACGTGAGATGAGCGAAAAATTGATTTGAGATTTCAAGTCTTACTTCTGTCGGAGGAAAAGCGCTTCGGGCGAATTTGAGGTGAGAAATTCAATGCAACCCTGCATAGCCCAGCTTGCCTATGCCATGCTTGAGTCTACCGCACGAGACGGAATCGATCTAGAACACCTGTGTTTCACCCGGATGTACTCGAGCTGTCAAGAAAATGCTCTGCTTTGAGTTCTTTTGCCAGTTTTGTGGATCATCTGATATGATTAAGAGGTCTACTTGATTGCCTGTCGCTGAAATTCAACTGTGCGTCTACTTTTTTGCATCAACTCGCACCGGCTAATGATCTACACAGCTCCTTACGCAAGACGGTCTTCTTCCTCGAGACATCTGCAGGCCATCAGGTGCTGTGAACGAAGCCTGCGGATGTGTACCATTCTCCAAAGAGCTCAAAAACAGCTGCAAGTCGGTGTAGACGTAGGGATAACAATGCGCGAGGAAGCATACATCTGGTGATCGAATCAGCTGCTTTTCAGATTACTTAAACCACATACCACGATCATGATCAAACTCGATGGTGAACGTCAACGTATATCTATTCCCACGCGAGTAGTAAACGCAGCGAGATCCTATGAAAACATTGAGAACATTCTCATGTGCGCAGTGTAGCACAAACCTGCTCGTTTCCATCCAATTTTCTTCCTATCTGCATCTTTTCAAGAAAACACTCAAAACGGGGCATAAATCAGATGGTATTGTTGAATCTTACCTTTTGTGGAGTATAGCAGAGGTTTCAGCCCTTGATTGTACAGACTTTTGTTTTTAACAAAATTTACAATATTGATGACGTATGAAACATTTTTTCGAACGTTCGCCACCATGAAATAATACCTTACAAACGCCATCAATCCTTTCCATGCTCTTAGGAATCGAAAATACCATTGAACGTGTCCGGAGTCCTTGTCCGGTCTCAAAATGAGATCGTATTCTCTTGTTCCAACCTTTGACATCATTCACGTCTTTGAAAAGTTTTGTGACAAGACCTACCCTAACAGCTTTCCTAAGATTCCCTCCTTCAAATCTAGATTCGAAGAACAAGGGTGGTGGAACCCTCTCCTCTTGCGCCGATCGAGATCTTTGAGATATGTCCATGTCACTGTCATAGCCACGTTTCATTTCAATCTCCTTCACCTTGAGTTGCTTTCTGGGGGCCAGACAAAGGTGGAAGTGTCATCGAACACGACCTGTGGGTCTTGAATCAGAGAAAAGGAACAGTGTAAACAAGCGTCGTTTCCTCTCCATCTCGATATCCGCTCTCATCCTTGAAACGATCTTCGAGCCTTTTCTTGATTTCAGAGGCACCAGGTTCCTGCAGCAGATTCAACATTGTAGTCAGATAGTCAAACATCACACACCTGCTCTGCAATCTCCTTGCAGCTTGGAGTAGTCTGGATATGACATGGGGGTGGATGTATTAGGGGTCGTTTGAATATCCCTTGCTTGGCCGTTTCTGTTGAAAGAAAGATATTCGTGTCAACAAATCGCAATTCTACTATAATGATTCGTTGAGCATGGAAACCAAGTATGTTGTCACCTGGAAGCTTTTTGACATCCTCAGAAAATTTCCAAGGAGGATCATCAGGAAGTTTGAGTGCTTTTCTCCAACCGCATTCCGCCCGCATGGCAATGGAGGCCTCGAGAGTAATCTCTCCTCCCTCCTTCTTATCACCTTCCATTTTGTGTTGGCTAGCAAGATCACGGATTACAGGTCCTTGGTGTGATGGTCATCATCAAAAATCCGTTCAGTCTCTCCGCAAATCTTGTTCACCCATCCATCCATTCGTCTTATGGCTCATCATGAAGAAGTCTCCTCCTCATCTTCCATTTCCATTCATCCCGCATGAATATTTCTTCTTCATACATCAGAGTCTGACACCTTACCACCTTCCTTTACAACCCCGTCTCATTGTTCACCCGCATTGCTCTCCATTCTTGGACCCACCACCCCCAATCGCCTCAATCTGTGGCCACCCCACCGCCAAGACTAAATTGCACTACTCTCACTCGAACCCCCACCTCCTGATACACCAGCCTGGATGAGTCCCCAGGGCCTCCACTACACCCTCTAATACCAACCACCCCTACAAGCATATAGGGTACTGACCAGGGGCCTACCACCATCTCCGATCTTTCTGGACCCCCATTTTCTAGTTCAGATACCACACCTTTTCCAACCACCCCTCCTCCATAAGTATCCCTGGCAACGAACGCTTACCCCCTGTTCTGACCCCCTCAACACCCCATCCATTGCCCTCAAATTGGGCCGTTTCTACCAGTACTAGAGTGACAGGACCCTGCCAAGCCAACTACCCCACCTTCAATGAAGTTAATACCTACCCACCCACTGTGAGATCTTTATTATCACTGCACCCCACCCTTTTCTCTTGACTGTGATTCGGCGAACCCGGGCCGGTCCATCCCCTACCGTACCCCCTATTCAGAATAGAAAGGAGCTGGTACTAGTATGGGTGGGGTGGACTGATCCCGATGCACTACTAAAGTTGATTTAGGGGGTGGGTCATGAAAAGGGGGTCATCATAATAAGGGGTCGTTTCTAATAGGCTGATAGGGGGTACATGGTACATTTATTATTAGTTAACATGTAGGGGACGGAAACGGCTGCTGATGAGTTTGTGGGGGATGGGTGGTACGGGTTGTAGGAGGGGTTGGTGATGGGAAATACTGGGTGGGGCCTCCAGGTTGGGGCCCATAACACCCCTTCAGAAAATACCCCTACCCCCTCTATGTGGGGGAAGAAAGGGAAAACACCCCAACCCGAGAAGAGCACTAGATCTCGCCACCCCATCCCAAAGGACCCCACCCTGTTGAATTAAGTCTACAGTACCTGCAGGACTGGATTTTACTCCTAAAAATACCCCTACCCTGACATTATGCCTCAAAATGGGGGTGTGGGGATTGCGTTGAGTCTGTTGGGTTCGGAGAGGAATGAGGTGACATTTACCTATCCCATGCGGTGACTTGCTGTCGGCATGGTGACTTCGTGCTCCGAGTCTCCTTGGCAGGGGAAAGAACAGATCCATGATCCGAATGAGAGGAGGAGAGATGTGGGAGAAGGAATGGCGAGGTGGGGCAGCTGTGGAGTAGCCTGAGCAGCGACTGACTCGGATAGAAACATCAGCTCAGAAAGGTCAAGCATGGATCCAGGGGATAGACATCAGAGATTGTGAATCATACAGCTGTAAACATGCAGCTAGTGGTTTCCCATCCACAAGGGATAAATTTCATCTTCGTGTCTCAAACCCTCCAACGATCTGAAGCAGAGCCATGGGTATCACTTGTTGAGTTTGTTCGATCTAAGCACAGAATAAGAGGAGGGAAGATGACGGAGAGCTCCTCTCTCAACCCGGGCTCACGCCCGCAGGATAGGAGAGGACAGCCTGATGGCTGTTGGAAGAAGAAAATTGCGTTTGACTTCCGCCATCGTTTTGATCACTCGCCGAATGTTGAGCGGAGGGGAGGTGAGCAGTGAGAGAGTCCTTGATAGAACCTGCGATGCGGGCGAGGTCTGCCAAGTCTGGGTGGACCATTCCTGCGATGTGTGTGACGATCAGAACAAGATCAGTGTTGCTGCTCTCACCGTCACTGAGGAGGGAGACAGCCTCCACAAGCTGAGCCCATATGCCTGCAAAGTGACCTGAGGGTTCAAGGAGGGCATGTCAGGGAGGAGCCGGCGATCATTAGGAGTAGTTGCCTGCAAGTGCGAGGACGTCTTCTTGGCTGAACCCAAGGTATGTGTGCAAGAATGCGAGGAAAGAGACCTGTAGCATTGAAATGTAAAGGCAGTAAAGACTCTACAACGTCCGACTCACCGATTCCCTCAACAATTGCCATTCCCTCGTTTGATCGACTTCCATCTTCGAGTCGTCAAGACTAGAACTCAAGGTGCTCTGAACCTCGGCGACAATGACTTCTCCTTGTGTTGCTAATGAACATAGATAAACGATGGAGTATCACTTGCACGCACCCAAGACATATCGAAGACTCTTCCACGGAATCGTTCCCACAATCTTCTCATCGAGAACAACTTCAATTCCATCCTTGTATCGAGAGGCAATCTAGTGCAGACCGTGTCATCAAACACTGGAGCTCAAGGATTCGATCTCACCGTGGCAAAGATCCTCAAAGCCCTTTCACGTCTTGCTCTCGATTTCCTGCGGCTCCACTCATTATGACCAAGTCCGTCACATGTCTCGAGCTACTTGTTTGAGCATTTCTCTGAATCTGAATCCAACTCTAAACATGCGAGGATCTGACATCAAAATATCAAGCCAGAAAGCAATTTAACGGAAAATTACCATGCTAAGCATCGATCGTTTACATCCCGGGTGCAATATCAAAGAAGATGAAACCAACACACGAGACTTGCACCTTGATGTTGTTAGAATGCACACGAGAACGAGAAAAATTCGAAAGATACAAGTGGGAAGCAACATCTAGCGCGATCACTTTCGAATCATTCCAAGGGTCCTCCTCGTTGGTCCCTAGCATGCGGACGATACAACCATTTGTGATGAGCGCTTCGAAGCAGCTGAGAAACCACCAACGTCACGACCCTCCAATGCAACAGTGGATCTCATACTTGACTTGTGCATCAGCATCGGTATTCTCCAATAGAATTTGAAAAATCTTCAAAGAATTGTTCATTCGCACAAGCTCGTGGTGCGAGAAATAAATCTCTTACCTTCAAAAGAATGAGATTGACTTTAAATGAATCTTTGAAACTATCCTGCGAACAAATGAGTCATACAAAGCCGGCTTTGTCAAATCGGTTTTGGCTGCAGACCGTCAATGCCAAAAGAACGAAAACGAACTGTTTATCGCGCTGACTATTCTTCTTGTTCCTGGACATGGTTCCAACAAAATTCAAATTTTTGCTTACTGATCTGCATCGCTGTACCTTTCAGTTCCAGTATTGTCTTGCACCTTGCCAGCAGATGAAATTTCAGTGGAGTTGAGAGACACTGAAGAAGATAAATCTTCATGTAGCATCTCTTCCAGCAGCCTTTCTCTGCGATTCGCCGCACAGAGTAAGTATGAAAATGTGAGTTGGTTCATGCCATCGACAACCTTATAACGTGACTCATCGTCAACAGGGCATGAAGACAGCGTAGAGTTATGTGCAGATCCTGTTCATAGTCACATTTGCTGCAGTCGATCTACACCGATCAGTTCTACCTGAAGCCTATCCTCGCGTTGAGACCTGTCAAGTTTCGGTGCCTGATTTCCAGTGTCTTGCAGTTCTTTACGGATACTTGACTCCATCGCAGCACGCAAATCGTCTGCTGTGACCATGCCATTGACAAAGGCCGAGAGCATCTTGTACATGGCATTTTCAGACAAGGCAAATTGATCGCTCTTTGGCTTGCGCACACTCAAACGATTCGCAGAACTTTCACCTACATCTAGCACATCAGACGACATAGTGTCATGCAAACGAGAGACGTCAGACCATCGATCTGCATGCTTGAGATGAATTCTTCGATGTTCTCGGGAAACAATGCCTTCAAGCAACGCAGCCGTTTTAGCTTCAGCCGGGAATCTGGGTCGAGGAGGGTTGGTCTTCGGTGTGAGGCCATGCTGTCAGTTTCAACTTGCATTGAGAAATCACTCTTGTGAACCTGGACCTGTGACAATCTGGAAATCTTGTTCAGATATCGCAATACGTCTATGCGCCTTGTACCTCTCTTGCCTCTCAGGTACCATTTGCGCGGTAACATCGCCTTGCATGCAGCGCTTCTTTGTTGCATGAAGCTCTTGTTCCAACTTTGACTTTGACAATTCAATCTCTTGACATCTTTCTCGTGCTATTTTGAGGTTTCTTTCCACCTCACCAAACCGCACGCTCAGACTATTATATTCATTCTCCTTGAAAGCCAAATTTGTCTTCACTTGGCTGATTTCCTTCTCCAGGTCGGAGGAAGGACGACCTCCTCCCTTACCACGTGACTGTACAAGTTCATGGTTCAGAGATCGAAGCTTGTCCATCTCATCATTAGCGCTCTGTAGTCTGGCACGGAGATTGGAGATTTCCCCATTCCGAGCTTGCAGGTTCCTGCATACCATTGAGACCAAGAAAGAGATGGGAACGTGTTGCAAACCAGGTCAACTCTTCAATCTTTTTCTCCATGTCAGAGTTGCCTGACATTCCAGACAACCTGCTGATGTCAAGATCCCATCGCGCAGGTTGCTATGAGTTCGTCGGACAAGCTTCCAAGCTCAGGCTCACCGTTTCCATCCGTCTCTCCTCCTTCTCTCTCCTGCTAGCATCGGTCTCTGCTCTTTCCACGATCTCGGTCTCCTCCCCCTTCCCCTCTCTTCTCCTCCTCCTCCGCCTCTACCCTCCATTTCACGACATGCGCAAATTCAGCTTCCCGCCATGGAGCCCGTTATAACCGTTACGGTAAAGTTGATTCGGTCAAGATCCCGGGTCCCAGTCCCTACCATGCAGGGCAACGTCCGGCGGCTCGTTCGCTCGATAGAGCCGCCAGGGCATGCGGGTGGAAGCAGCGTGGAGCATCAGGACATGCTGAGGACCTCATCCTCTCCTCAAACCAGCAGCTCTCCCGCCATGGCGCTTCCTCTCAGTCTGGCCTCAGGGTACACATCCGGTGCATCATACAACTCTGCTGCGTCTTATCCTGTCAACCGTGGTTCGCCGGCTCCGTCGCAAACTGCTCAGTCGCAAACTCCAACCATCTCTTCGCATCCACCTAGCCATGGTTTGTTATCAGCTTACTCCCGTCCCGATGTATCCTCGTTTGTGAGAGAAGTGCAGCTGACAGACAGTCCTGCCGTTACAAGCTCCAGTCAACCCATCATAAGCCACATCGATGCAGGAGGAGACGAGCTGTACAGCTCGATAAGGAAGTCACTGAAGAGATCTGATGGAAACGACCAGGAGAGTCAGAGACGACAAGACCCATCGGACGACGAGTGGTTCACTTTGGCGACTGATGTGCTGTCTTCCCTCACAGCTCTTGACGCGAGCTCCCTGCATGGAGTCAGAGTCGTGAGTGAAGATGACTTGAGGGTAGGAAGCCTCATCTCACTCTACAACGTGTTGAATCCATACCTGCTGCTCATGCGAGACGATGGACAACAGGTGATAGATGAGCTTCGCGTGCATTCTTGTGACCTCAATGCAGGACATAATTGGGATGAAATTCTTGTTTCATTTCATTTCGAACAAGGAAAACTTTAACATCAAATCAAACATCTCTTTCAAGCATTCGCAGGTAGCTTGTCTCATCGGGGAACACTGACTTGATCTTTTGACTTGTGCATCTCAGTTCCGACTCCGCAAAGTCAGCCATACTGCTTCACTTATGGAATGCTTGCACAACCTGCTCAAACCCACGTAGTTCCTGCACCTTTCAGCCATCGCTTGCCTTCCTGCTTGACTCAATTTACAGCTCGCCTGACGGAGTGGAAGATGCGCTCGCAGTGATGCATGGAAACTGTGTAACAGGGGTTGTTTCCCTTGCTAGTATCCTGCAGGTGAAGCCCGGAGACCTTGATTTCTGCTTTATGGTTTCAATAGATACTGCAAGAGTCGCTCTCATTGGTTCAGCCGCTCATGACTTCTGTGCAATCCTTGTGCAATGATATGGTGATGAATCGGAGATTATCTGTTGCCCCCTAACTTGCTTGAAAGGATGTTGTCGAACCCAACCGGGCGGTGTCGTCAGAAGTGTGGAATTGGGAGAACGAGGCTGTGAGACTGATGAAAGATCTACGGAGTGAGTATGCAAGCGTCAGAGTTCTTCTTTGACTTTCGTGTAGAGCTCAAGGACCTTTCCTTCTTGTCACAGGCTGATGAAACCATAATGAAAGCCTCCGGTGCGACAGAGGCTTGTTTTGTAGTTAGGAATCAAGGATGGGATGCAGGCGAGCGGATCATTTCTTTCATCGCATCTTCGCACCAACTGAACAAGCCAGAATCACAGAATACCGGCATGATCTCGTCGGATCCTGTCAATGTCAAAGCAGTTACGGGCGGTTTCGTGCTAGCCAATACCCTTACAGAATCTTCCAAGATGGTTTGGAAACTTGCCCATTGCATCCCTTCGCTAACAAGTTTTCCTCTCTTGCCTCATCCTCTCCTCTCTTGCCTCATGTTTTGCCTCCATCCTCCAGGTTAGCAGCGTGCACACGAATATGAACGTAGAGCCGCAAAGGAACAGCAACAAAAAGTCAACAGGGTGGGTCAAGATTCGCCATGGATGCGATAAGGATTGATGTCTGAGTGTGCTTGTGCAGGTGCTTTTCTACCAGGAGAAAGAACAGCTCTCACTCTCATGTGGAACCTCCTGTGACAGATAGCCCCAGCAGCAGGCGACCTCTAGAGACTACGACGTTGCCTCATCACGCTCCTCCCTCGACCTCCTCAGCAGGGATCCTCGAGATCGTTCAAGACATGAGGAACACTCTCACGTGGTTGACAACTGGCAACGGCTTGTCAAGCTGGTCAAGTGGATCTGTCAACGTCGCTCAAGTACATCAGAGGATCGTTGTCATGGGAGACGTGCCGACAGACAGCGGGCATATGATCTCTCCCCTCTCCTCTTCCTCCCAGGTTCGCCATGTCATGACCATCCTGCCATTCTCAGCTGACACAGCACACTCCCAATCCCCTGCAGTTGTCAAAGATCCTCAAGTACCTGAAGAGTTCGTTCGATGACCAATACGTGATCATCAACCTCACCCAACAGGACCATTTTCTCAGCTCATGGCTTTCCCGAAGAATGATCCGCCTGCCCGTGGCAGGCTCGTCGCCTCCTTCAATGAGGTCGCTCCTCTGTCGTCTTCTGTACTGGACTGACCAGGACGCCAGGGACATGCGGAGCCTCTTTCTCTTGCACGACTGCATGCGGAGGAGGCAGGTGGGGTGTAGGTGGGACGACTCGACCAGCCCAGCGTTTGTCATCTACGATCGCAATGGGATAGGAGCTGCAGGAAGACTTGTGCTTGTGCCGAGAGCTTGTGGTATGTGACAATGCTAGCAGGCGTCATGTCTTGTGTCCTCCTGCTCGCTACAGGAGCCGCGGCCTCTGCTCTCGACGCTCTCCTCCTCTTCATCGCCCAGCGGACCAACTATCGTCCAGGACAGGCAGGGGACCCCAACGTCATCAAGAGGTTCCAACTCCAGCTGTTGCCCCAGCAGAACGTCACCGCTCGAGAGCCTCTCGCTCAAGAGTTCGTTATTGTTGGACCCATCGCTCGTTGGATCACCCCGAGCATGCAAAGATATGTCCAATATTTCTTCCATGCCCAACAGAGGTGATGCTGGTGCCAGATCAGATGTGGAAGGAGGGGGAGGGGGAGGTGTTGAGGAGGTGTTGGTGTTGGTGGATGAAGGATTGAGATGATATTGCGGATTCACAGGCATGGGATGAACATGTACACTACTATCAGATCTGCTCCAAAGTGCAGGATAATGGCGCTCAAGACGTTCGGTACATCTCAAACCGCAAATATCAGGTCATTTCCTTTGCCCCTCTCCAGCTTGCCTTCAGCTAGACTTGGCTAACATCAACTTCCAGGCTACACAGGCCCTGGTATCGCATCTTCTCCAACAACCTGCTGGTATACGATCATCGGAAGTCTCGAAGCTTCGCTGAACAGGTACAGACGAGGCTCCGACCGCCTGCCATGGCTGACGGTCGTCGCTCAGGGGCTGAAGGAAGACGCGTGGACGACGAACCTGAAGGTGGCGAGTGAAGCTGGGGTGCTCGTGGAGGAGGAGGTTCGGGTGGAGCTGATGGATTCTGTGGGGATGGTGGACCGGCTGATGTTGGTCCTTCACCTGCACAGCTCCTTCATTGAGGACGCGAAGCTCCTGGAGTTCTCGAAGCAACAGCTGGACGTGGGCTGTCTGTCCGAAAGTCTCCCTCATGATTTCAAATTACACCTCGTGATTGAAGCGGGCGAGGGAAAGCGAGAGAGTTCAACGACCCGTCGCAGGGAAATCTTTGCCAAAGAGAAGCTTCCTTCACAGGTCATCCCCAGCTTGCCGCAGGAGAAGCAAGTCCCCAACTACGAAACGAACATCCCGTCCTCGGCGTACCTGGCCAAGACCCCAGCTGACTTGTGGGTCATGTCCATGAGCATGCCCCTATTTGTGACGGGTTTTCAGGGGTTTCGAACCTGCTATCCCTCCGCCTGGCCACGTGGTAAGTTTGACAGAGTCTGCTGGGGAGAGTGCTGGGATGTTACGAGAGAATGACGACGTCAAGATGTTTGTGTTTGTCTTTATTTCATCCCTCCGTCCTCGTTGTTTGTTTGAAGTCACATTGTCAACACCTACAGAGTTTCTTCACTCCGATGAAAGATTCGCAAGCGTTTCCCAGACGTCCTGTGCCGAGCGAGGTGAGTTATGATTTCTTGTCTTCCTCTCTCGGAGACTCTGCTGTCAGGTCCACACGAGCATTGAAAGCACTTCTGACGGCAGCGAGCGGGTTCTCTGCATCCTCCTCCTCCTCCTCCTCCTCCTTCTCCTCCTCCTCCTCCTCTGTTATCTTGTCTTGTAACTCCCCCTCGGCTTATTCTCCTGCTCCTCGCTTTCTTTCTGGGCCACTCTCCTCCTCTTCTTCCTCCTCCTTCCCTCCATCTCCTCGTCATGATCCAGCACAGCTTTCTTGTCGATCGTCCTCCTTACCTTCACCTCCCTCCTCCTCCTCTTCCTCCTCCTCCTCCTCCTCCTCCTCCTCCTCCTCTACCTCCTCCTCACTGCCATCGACAGGAGGGGCCGATGAGTCTGGAAAAGAGCAATGGGGGCACGTCGACGCCAGCGGAGGATCTGAGAGTGGTGAGAGGATTCATAGCAGCGGCTAATAGAAGAAGGTCCCCCGCCGGCTTCCTCCAGGTATCTGCTGCATGCCTGACCCCTCTTCGGCCCTGCCTCGCGGCACACTCCCTTCCTCCTCCCTCTTTGCCCTTTTCCTCTCTCCTTACCCTCCTCCTTATCCTTCTCCTCTTTCGTACCCTCCTCCTCCTCCTCCTCCCTGCTCTTCTCCTACCGCCTGAGCTTCTCCCTGTCTCCTCATCTTCCTTCTCCCAGACCAGCGCGGTGATGGACCCGCTCAACTTCGGCCTCGCCTCCGACCTCCTCGCCTGGGCTCTCGACAGCGATCGTATGAACTGAAGGAGGGGGAGGGAGGGGGAAGTTGTACGATAAAGCACAAGGGAAGCGAAGCGAGCAGGAGGCGAGATAAGACTGACGTGTACAAGTAAACATGGAGCAAACGTGAATGAGAGGCAAACACATGACATCCCTGAGCTGGCATGTCAGCTGGGGTGGGAAGGCGACATGGGCTCGGGTTTACAGCATGACTAAGTGCGATCGTTAAGGAGGAGGATGTGGCGAGCAAGCTTCAGCGCATGTCCCACCTGCCTCTCGTCAGCGTCTATCAGCTGGGAAAGTTTCTCACCTTGTCGATTCCCAGCTCGTCACGAGCTATCAGGAGGTACAAGGGCATCCCCCCGGCCTCGTGAGATGAAATCATTGACCTGGTTGCGATGTCAGTCAAAACGAAGCAAGAGGAGAGGAGAGGAGAGGAGGGAGAGAGGAAGAGGGGAAGAAAGTAGAAATTGGTAGAGGAGATTCGGAAATTGGCGATAAGACGATAGAAGGAAACGAGGATAGGAGGAGCAGGAGGAGCGGAAGAGCAGGAGCAGGAGCAGGAGCAGGAGCAGGAGCAGGAGCAGGAGCAGGAGCAGGAGCAGGAGCAGGAGCAGGAGCAGGAGCAGGAGCAGCGGAGCAGCAGGAGGAGCGGAGCAGCAGGATGAGCAGAGGAGCAGGAGGTTTACCTGAGTTGAAGGAGGGCATCGCCATCGATCTGCTTCTCCATCAAACTTTCAGCGTATTCGCTGAGACCGACACTGCAGACGAACTGCTTGACATCCTGAACAGACATCTGGTCCACCCGCCTGCGAGATCACGAGAGGAGAGGAGAGGAGAGGAGAGGAGAGGAGAGGAGAGGAGAGGAGAGGAGAGGAGAGGAGAGGAGCGCTTGTCAGAGTCGGGAACAAGATGCTGGCAATGCTGGCACTCCTCCCGCACTCAAAGTCACTCACTTCTTCACTTCTTTGCTCCGTCCTGCCTCCTCTTGCCTGTCAGCGCCCCCAGCCGTAGACGAGGTCCTCGCTGCTGCTGCTGCTGCTCCCCTTCCTGCCGTCCCTTCGACGCCTTCTCCTCCTGCAGCAGGGTCAGCTGCGCTAGCGACGGCTGGCGGCTGTACCTGGAGAGGACTGCGCCTGCTTCTTCGCAGGGTTCTTCGCCCACATGACCTGCACGTCCATGGACGGAAGCTGATGCCACGTCTGTGATGAAGGAAGGGGAGGAGGAGAGAAGGAGAGAAGGAGGGAGGGGGCGAGGGAAGGGGTGGAGACGGAAGGAAAGGGTAGGGGAGGGAAAGGGGTTGAGGAAGAGAAGAGACAAGGGGCGAGGATGAGGAATAAAAAGAAGGAGAAGAGGAACAAAATAGTTCAGCGCGACAAAACGGAGAAAGAAGCAAAGATCTACTTGTTCTATCTTTCCGTCTTTGACCCATTCAATCAAGTACTTGGTACCATAGTTGCCCTCCTTGACTTGTTGGATCTGCATCGTTGAAATGTCATCGTCATCATCATCATCACGAACAACAACAATGAACAGCAACTACAACACCATCATCCTGTCCCTCCTGAACTGATCCACGATCTCCTCACCGCTCCATTGCCCCACACATGTCGACTCTTGTCATAGATCTTCACTCTCTTTCCGATCCACTGCTTCCCGTGCTCCAGCTTCTTGTCTCTCGTGTCGGAGGAGAAGATCTGAAGACTCTGGTCAGCACCCTCATCGACGCTTTTCTTACCAACTTGTCTCATGTAACTTCTGTCAAACATTTCCGCCAGTCGTTTTGCAACCTTGTAAGATTCTGCAACTCGAGTCGTCATGATGAAATTTTTTTCGATTTATCATTGTCGTTGACAACCACTGCACGACTATCACGGTCTCGATCTCGATCTCAACCTCGATTCTTGTATCCAAATACACATCATCATCATAATTGCCATCTCCATCATCATCCCCATCACCATCATCCCCATCATCATCATCCCCATCATCATCATCCCCATCATCATCATCCCCATCATCATCATCCCATCATCATCATCCCCATCATCATCACTCCCATGATGAGATGCCCCATGAGATGCATGATGCCCCATGCATGCCTGCA